CGGGGCCCGCCGGCGCTGGGAGTGCGCGGCCTGTGGGGCGGCTGGGCCCGGGAGGCCGCGGGGGCCCTGCCCGGCGCTGGGGGAGCTGACGGGGCCGCCCGAGACGGACGGCGCTGTGAGGGGATGTCCGCCCCCCCCTCTCCCCCCCCGCCGGCACAGGAGGAGCGAGTGGGTGTCACTGTAGCTGTCAGGTGTGGAGTTGCAATAAAGATCTGCAGAGAGGTGTCTACAAGTCGCAAAAGTTACTTCCACAGCTCGCTTACACTTTTTCACTTTTTTCTTTCTTTTATTTATTTATTTTTCCTACTTTTTTTTTTTTAAGTACACGTGGCTCTAGGGCGTTGCACGTAGGAGGGATGGCAGTAGGTGTCCTCCGGTTCTGTGGGGCTGGGCTGGTCCCGGCTGCCCCCGCCAGCCCCCGTCCGAGCGGCGCGGGGAGCTCTCGGCTCCGAGGCCTGAGCCTTGTTTTCATAAACCTTCCTGCTGCTGCCTTAAAAGTACAAATGCGACGCGCGGTTCCTCTCGGGCTCGTCGGGGTTTGGAAGGATCCCGAGAGCCGAAGGGTTTTCATGTGCCCTGCGGCTGCAGAAATGACTGCAGCAAAGCGGGTGCAGTGGTTGTGTGTAACTGGTGCTGGGGCCTGCTGGCCTCTGCATCCCTTAGAGCTTTTTATGTTGGTAACAGTGAAATAAAGAATACGTCCCAAGTTCTAAGTAGTCTGATGTGGCTGGCATCGGCAAAATAAGGAGGAAAGTGTTTGAAAGCAGCCTGTAAGAGTTTAGGAAGGACTGCGGTAATGTCTGCAGCGGGGAGCATTTGAAACAGTGAGAGGCACTGGCGTGTTTAAATTTGTTGTGTTCCAAAAGTCATGCTTTGTTAAAAGATTTACCTAGTTCTATGCCTGGATTAAAACTGATGTGATGGAACAGGCTGCCCAGGGAGGTTGTGGAGTCCCCTTCTTTGGAGATTTTCAAGACCCGCCTGGATGCAGTCCTGAGTAACATGCTCTGACAAGCTCTGGGTGGTCCTGCTTTAGCAGGGGAGTTGGACTAGATGATCCCTATGGTCCCTTCCAACTCTAAAAAATTCAGTGAAATTCAATGATACATCTTAACTTTTATTGGCAGTCTTTTGCTCTCAACTCATACTGCCTTGTGCTCAGTTCCTTCCTTTTTCTCCATGTTAGCTGTATCTCGTTGAAGCTTTATAATGTGTGTTAAGCTCTCAGTCAACAGTCTGGCCTTGTGTGGTTTAGCTGCCTTAGTTTAGAAATTATAGTCTTGAATTTGCTTGTACTGATTTATTTGAACCTGTAATATGCCATTAAAAATGGTCTTTAATATTATTTCTCCATAATAAAAAGGAAAGAGGAAGATAACATAAGGTAAATGCACAGCTGTCTTGGATCACAGTAGTTTCTGTGTGCAGATTTTGTTTATTTGCAGGACTATTCAGCAAACAGCACTGAGCTGCTTTTTTTTTTGTGTGTGTGTCTAACCTTATTGTAGCTAGTTATTTTTTAAAAAAGTTATCTTTATGCAGAGCAAAATATATATTTCAGGGATTAGTGTATATTTTTTCTGCTTCAGTAGGTAGAAGAATTTTTTTTCAAATTTAAAGTTTATCAGAAATAGAAAAGGAAAAAACTTATGACAGTTATGGTGTACGTTTAAAATATTTTTGTGGTAACTTGATATCATGTTCTTAGTGTTTAAAAATATTGGGTAATAATAACTTGAGGATCAGAAGAAAACAAGCACTATTGTGGTATGGTTCATTTTTTTTTATTTTTGGGCAGGCTGTTAAAGTAATAGATTTTAGGGTAACTAAAATTTTGTAATGAAAATGTTTTTCAAAACATTCATGAAGGAAATACTAGTTTCCTGTGTACCTTCTGCATCTCATTTGTGAGACTATCAGAACTAGCAATGATAGTGACAACATATGATGAGGTATTTCTGACCTTCTCATGTGAAACTTTACATATATGTAGTGATTGTTATTCATATATATTTTTCATGTACAGGTTCAATGATTATGCTGCATTATACAGAAGGAGTGCTTTTCATCTGTGTCTTGGAGTGTTTCGAGGATGTTTACATGCAGAGGTAATACGTTATTTATGGAAGTGATTTAATGTTTTAAATGTCTGTATGAGACTGGTGATGGTTTCATTTACTTATTTGCACCTAATGAGGTAGATGTTGTCAGGTCAAAGTGAAATGGTCAAGTGGTGAAAGTACAACTTTGATCTGAAGTTGGCTGACAATATTACTGCAGTTACAATCATAAAAGTGTACAGAGTTTTAAAAGTACGTGGTCAAATCAGGAATGTGTGAACTTTATCAGTCATTTTAGCAAAACTTATTCAAATATTACAATTTCTAATCTGAAATATTATTAGTGTATGGTAATCCTCAGAGGAGATGCCATTGTATTTGATCTGTTGACAGCAAACATGGTTTAGTAGAATTCTTGTTTATTTACCACTTTTTGAAATGTGTTCCTCTGGTTTTTATTTAATATTATTTCTGTCCTTTGTTAAATACATTTCCTGAGATATTGGGACTTTCTGTTTTTTTGTTTGCCTTGAAACAGGAATTAAGATGGATGGAGTATTTCATTGGCCGTAGCAGCAGCAGGATGTATAAGGTGGGTATGTTGAAAGAATATGGTTAATGTCCTCGCAGAATAGTTTAATTTTTGATTCTATATCTGTCTGAACACAAAGAAGTGGCACATGGTAAGCTAGGGCTCTTTCCCGTGGTAGATGTAGGTAGCTTACCTGCTTTTGGTTGTGGTAAGCTGTTACACGTTTAGCACAGGTTAATGAGTAGATGCAGACAGTCTTAGGTAGCTGATGCACTTTAATTTTGCATCCTTTAATGGAAGTTTTTCAATATGTCCTTTCCCTGGGGTTTATATGCTTTTTCTGAGAAAATGCCACAGAGTTTTTTGGAATCTGCTTTTCAGAGTTATGGTTAAATGTGACCAACTAAGAAAAAGATTCAGTTACAATCTTCTTATGTAGACAAGTTTTATTTCTATGTTTGAGTTGCTGATTGTTAGTTTATTTTAAAATTATTTAACGTCATTGAGAGTGTATTCCAGTGGGAGTGCACTTCAATAAAACCAATTGTTTTCAGGATTTCCATAAAAAATATTAGTGATTCAGCAACAGTAAAAGATGTTTTGATGTTCATTCTCATCTGCAGTCAAGATTTTGTTCTTGTTTGCTTAGACTTAATGCTTCGTGTTTATCATTATAATTCACTTACAGAGATCCAGAACATGCTTTTACTTAAAAAGACTATTTGTAACAAAATTTAAACCATGAACGTATATTTTTACAAGACTAGCATTAGCAAATAAGAGAACAGAGGTGCTTAAATAATGGTTGAGCACTTTCTCATGAAGTGTATTTGCATGTTGTTGTTATCAAAGTTGAATGAAATGCTGACTTCTGCACAGGAGAAGAATTAAAAATAATATGTTGTAGGTCCTTAATGATTTTTGTTACTGTTTTGAAAATAAAAAGTTGTGAAAATTTTTTTATTCCTTGCCTTCTCTTATTGGTGTAACAAACAGATTCTTACTGTCAGCTTAAAATGGCATTAGGAGAATGCTGTCGTCTTTGTATTGTATTTGCTCTGCATCACTATTGGTCTTGTCACCCTTCATGAAAACACACAGAGCAGCTGGGTAGAAATCATGCTGTTCTTCATGTGACACTTTTTAATTAAGTGTGTCTTTGACTTATTATAGTACTATATTTGCAGGTATTGGTTTGTCCTTAATACACTGATTAAATCTAGTGTAAGTAATATTCAAGCGTTATTTTTTTAAAGGACTTAAGCCATGGGTATTTATAGCTTAATTAAATACTGTAGGAAATGTTATTGTGGTTTGTGGAGCAACACATCTTAATCAGAGAATGGTCGGGGTTGGAAGGGACCTTTGGAGATCATCTAGTCCAGCCCCACTGCTGAAGCAAGTTCACCAAGAGCACGTTGGACAGGAACGCATCCAGGGGGGGTTTGAATACCTGCAGAGAAGGAGACTCCACAGCCTCTCTGGGCAGCCTGTTCCAGTGCTCTCATGCCCTCAAAGTAAAGAAGTTTTTCCTTCTGTTCAGATGGAATTTCCTGTGTTCCAGTTTGTGCCTGTTGCCTCTTGTCCTGTCGCTGGGCACCACTGATAAGAGTCTGGCCCCATCCTCTTGACACCCACCCTTTAGATATTTATACAGATTGATGAGATCCCTCTCAGTCTTCTCTTCTCCAGGCTAAACAGACCCAGGTCTCTCAGCCTTTCCTCATAAGAGGGGTGCTCTCGTCCCTTGATCATCTTCATAGCCCTCTGCTGGACTCTGTCCAGTAGTTCCCTGTCCTTCTTGAACTGGGGAGCCCAGAACTGGACACAGTACTCCAGATGGAGCCTCACCAGGGCAGAGTAGAGGGGGAAGATAACTTGCCTCGACCTCCTGCACCCCAGGAGACCATTGTCCACCAGGACTCCCGGGTCTCTCTCTGCAGAGATTTCCAGCAGGTCAACCCCTAGGCTGTGCTGGTGCATGGGGTTATTCCTCCCTAGGTGCAGGACCCTACATTTGCCCTTGTTGCACTTCTTTAAGTTCATTAGATACCTCTCCACCCAGTTCTCCAGCCTGTCCAGGTCTCGCTGTATGACAGCACAGCCTTCTGGTTGTATCAGCCACTCCTCCCAGTTTTGTATCGTCGACAAACTTGCTGAGAGTATGCTCTGTCCCCTCATCCAGGTCCTTGATGAATATGTTGAATAAGACTGGACCCATTCTTTAAGTTCATTAGATACCTCTCCACCCAGTTCTCCAGCCTGTCCAGGTCTCGCTGTATGACAGCACAGCCTTCTGGTTGTATCAGCCACTCCTCCCAGTTTTGTATCGTCGACAAACTTGCTGAGAGTATGCTCTGTCCCCTCATCCAGGTCCTTGATGAATATGTTGAATAAGACTGGACCCAGTGCTGACCACTGGGCAATGCTGCTAATTTGATAATTCTTCCTAATTATGGTGTTTTGATTACATTTTTTATATTAGACCTAACTGTGGTAGAACTGTCCTGTGTATTAAAGAAAGATGTGAAAGTGCATAAATGAAGGAAAGACTGTCTTTGGTTTGTCACTTCAGTCGAAAGAAATATTTCCTCACCTAAACTGTGAACAGTTCTTTCTAGCGTTGGTTCCTTCTTGCATCTTTTTGAAGGGTGTGCAGTACTGAAAGCCTTGAGTGAAAGGAGACTACCTGGTGTCCTCATAGCAGAACAGGCTTAGTACTGAGCTGTCAGTACACTGTCAACTACTGCACACATGAAAAGGAAAGAATGTAGTTTGTAGCTCAGTGCATCTCTCAGAGTTGTAACGCACTGTGATCGCTTCATTTGTGGTTAAGCTTTTTTTTTTTGAAAAAAAGAAAAGCTTTATTTTTTTTTGCAGAATGATGAGGTTTGTTTTTTACATGGGAGCATATAAAGAATGAAATTATGCAGTATTAAGTAATGAACATATATATTTTTTAAAGTAGGACTTAGTTTTAGAGGCTGGTCTAGGATATTAATTTCTGTGTATGCGTCTGGTAGTTTCATTCTGTGGCTTAGCGCTTTAATGTTTTTCAGAAAGTCTAAGCCCACGATTGCTGGCTTAGAAAAAGTATAATGAGTAATTCCAAGAAGAGGTCATGTGCTGAGATGAGCTTCAGAGCTGGGCTGTCCTGGCCCTGCTGAAATGCCTCTGTCACACTAGGTCCCTGGGAAGGCAGAGATGTGGGATTATTCTTCTGGCTTCCTTGGGTATTTGCCAAGAGAGGCAGGTGCAAAAGAGGCTTGAAAAATTTGTTTGATAGGTCTAGGAGTTGTGGGAGAAAGGTCCTAGTAAGTCTGCCAGGAGCGGTTTCTGTCAGTGAAATTGGTTTGGGATATTAGGTGGCTTCTAAGTTACAGTTTCATGGAAAATTATTGCTGTTTATTTGAGTTTGGCTGATATCACTCAGAGCAATGTTTCCGTGCTCAGTCTTCCACATGAAACCCTATATTATCAGTAACCAAAGGCTGAAGTGTCTGTAGGAAGTATTTAGCAGTTTTTACCTGACCCAAAAGCAGAAACCAAATCAAACAAATGCTTAGAGGTGTGTTATCTTACTTTATGGTGCATTACTCATCTGTTGTAAGGACACTTGCAAGGGACTCTTTCTTCCTCCATGGACCTTTGCCTAAGGACAATGTTGAAAATGGTGCGTGGTGACAAATTACAACTTAGACCGATGTCACTTCTGTTGTATCCGTGCTTCTTTGCCACTTTACTTTTGTTACATATGTGTTTGTGGTTCTTTTGGATGAACCATAGAAAATCGGGATGTTTCTGTTACTGATTTGTGTAGCTTTGAGTGCGCTTCAGTCTTCCGCATGTCATTGGTTTTAAATAGTAATGATACAAAACTGAATTTTGGTAGGATTTTTGGCCATCCGTGACTGGTTAGCCTCCCTAAGGGGGTTACAGTCTGCCAGTTTTCTGTGAATGCCTGTAATCTCAGATTTGTATCAGGCTGCTGTTCCAATGAAGCAGTGCTACACACACCAAGATATGAGCTTCTGACAGTTCTTGGTCTTGCTCAGCTTGGTTAAAACAGAACAAGTGGTGAAGAAATAAGGTAGATCCATGTTTTTTAGGAAGCAAGTTAGTGAAGTTTAAGTATTGGCATTCAGTCCAACACTAGTCAATGCTGTTGATATGCACTGTCCTAAACGTAAAAGTACGTGAATCCCCAAAATACTGTTAGGGAATCAAAAAGGATCAGTCTATGAAAACCTGCATAGTTCTGCTGTGTCTATTTGAGTGCTCTGTGTGTGATGAATCAAGCACTTTTAAGTTGTCAATTAGTAAAGCGTCCTAAATTTAATAATATGGATGTCCAGTGGGTTTTATTGCTTCGGTCATTGACACATTTTGAGGCATTACTGAAGAAAAAAACCAAATTGGTAATGGATTAGAAAGAAGGGACTGTTCTGTATTACAGGTCTGAAACTGAGACCACCCAAATACTTTCAGCTGGTTTTTGTTATCTTCACAAATAGTTTGTTCTTTTAGCAGAGTGTTTAAGAACAGAGTTGGGTTAATCACTCTATTATGTTTTTCCCTAAACGGCAATATTAAAGAAACTTTATAACACTGTTCATGATTGAGGGAGGAAAAAAAGTATCTTAGACGTTTGATTCTCTTGGGTTTGTGTCTTGTGTTTTATTTTGTTTTGTTTTGTTTTTTTCCACTTCCAGAAGGCGGATGTGATTTCAGAACTTCAAATGCACCTTTTTCCTAGAAACTTTTGTCTAGTTTTGGCTGGATATGTACCCCTTAAGGGTCAATATATTATCTATCATATTTTATGATATTTTAGTAAGTTAATTCAGGGATGATATCTTTTCCATAGTTTTTGTAGGGTGGGGTGTAGAATGATCTTGTCTTCCATATATACCTGTGTTATATTTTCTATTAAAGTCTTAATTTTTCAAAAGGCAGGCCTGTATTGCATCACAGACTTGTTGTTATGCAGAAGCATACTTGGTGCCTTATTGAAGGCCTAAAGGTGGAAAGTCCATATGTCTGCAGTTTAGGGCAGTTGC